CCCAGAGTCCTCCTTTGGCCTGGAGGGAGACTGTGGTCTACCCTCTGCCTCCCGGGGGAGAAGGGCCTGGCAGTAGGAGTCTATCTCCTGCTCGCAGTCCCTGATGGCACGCAGTCTCTGGACTGTGGCCTGGAGCCATTGTCCTGCTGCTCCATGTGCTGCAGTGGATGCTGGCTGGGTCCCAGGGTGCCTCTGCACAGGGGTAGCCAGCAGGCAGCCCCCACGTTGAGGCACCCTGTGCCCAGCGACCCACTGCCCTGCCTGTCTGGGGTGCAGGGTGCCTCGAGACAGGGGCTCTATGTACCTCAGCATGTGGGGCCCTCGCACTGAGGCACGTGAAGACGGGAGCACCCAGCCCAGAGCTGCCTGCTTGCCCGTCTCAAGGCATCCTGCGCCCCAGCCAGCTGGGGAGCGGCTGGCTGGGGCGAAGGGTGCCTCAGCATGGGCTGCCTGCCCCCCTCTCTCCATGAGCTGCTCCCTGACTCACTGGGGCACAAGGTGCCTCAGCACTGGGGCTCCACAGCACATGGAGACAGGGGAGCAGGTAGCCCTGGCCTGTCTGCTCGCCCATCTCCGTGTTTGTCCCAGCACGTAGCACTTCAGCATGCTTTGCAGAGTTTTTATTCTCAGGAGTTTTTTTGGCTACCAGGAAATCCCAGTAGCAGATTTTTCCCCAGCACTGCAGATTAGCAGTCTGGGGCACAGTTTAACGTGCAACATGTGTGGTTTGTGACGCAGCAAAAAGGTTTGCAGTGCCACAAACTGCACAGGCCTGCATGTCTGGATCCAGCCTTATAGTCCTGCAAAAGGTCCATTTAATCTTTACGACGTATCATAGAACCAAAAGTTTGTGTCTGTATGTACTCTGTAGAAATAGTGGAGAGACACTTAGTTTTCAGTGGCCACATCTACATGAGACGCTGACTGCACAGTTGTTACTGCACAGTCATTTAATACTTGCATACCCAAATACTAAATGACTGCGCAGTAACCGATGTGACTGAGCGTTAGTGTCTTCACATGGCTTCTTGATGGTGCTGACTGTGCAGGAGCTCGTTACTACTGCTTGATAGCGTCATGCCTCAGTTCATGATGATGCTGCGTAGTAGTAACAAGCTACTGCACAGTCAGCATCTCGTCTAGCTGCGACCACTAATTAGCTATGAAATAGCTAGCTTCAGATTGTTGAAATATCATTTTTAGGACTATGGGCTGAATTTGAATTCATATATGGTGTTACAAATTCCAAGCAGGTGAATTTCCAAGACTGAATGTAAATTGTGCATAATGAAGGGTAGGGTTTATCAGGAAAAGTAACACACACAGAAGTATGTAACCAAGAGTAATATAAAGTTTGAAGGAGAGTTGTTTTATTTTGCATCTTTCTGCAGTCTTCTTGTTTGCTTTACACAGTATAACTAGATTTGGGTAAAATTGTTGGAGGTATAGTTTCTTCACTGAAAAAAATGCAATTCTGGGTGGACCAAAGCTATTTATGGGTTTTAGGTTGAGCTTCACAAATAGTTTATTTTGAGGAAAAAAGAGTGCTGTCTATTATTGCCTTCTTTCTTCCTTCCTTTCCTTTCTTCTTTGGTGTCTACAACCTGTTTGTCTAGTTTAGATGTTACATGGCCATGTTTATTGAATATTTTTTTAATTATTTCTTAAGATAGCTCTCAAAACTTTCTTTTGTTTATACACTTTTATCTGAGGTGATATGTTTCACATTTAGAAGATATTCTAAGAATCAGATTGACTGGTCTCCCTAAAAAAAATAAGCAACTCCCTTGAATAATGTGGTCACCATCAGCTGATTTATAACATAGCAACTGTTTATGTGCTATTCAGAGGCAACATGAAACTATAGCTTGACATTTCATTATAATTTAATCCCATCACACATGAAACTTGTCATGCTGCCTTCTGAAGTACAGTGTATACAAGAATATTTATAATGGGAAGCAGAGAATGGTGCATATTGCACAGAAAGGGACCTACAGTTCAGGGTACTCCGAACTACTGCCAGCTGCCACTTATGGTCTCAGGTTAGCATTTACTCTTGACTACAACAACCTTCTGAGACTGCTGAGGGGAGGGACTTCTTTATGTATCATAGGCTTCTATACAGTACCTACAACAAGAGAATTTATTAAGCTGTACACCTGGCTAGAGGATCCTATCCGCTATGAAGGTATGTTTTCCATAGCTTGGCACATCAATCCAGCAGAACTCCAAGCCCTCTGAGAATCATAGACGATACTGCACTGGTGCACTCACTCAACTCAGAAAGCTTCTTACCCATTTTTACCCATCTTGCCTACTCAGCCCAGCGTAAAATTTACCCTGATCAGTTTAGTATATTCTTCAGTAGAGATCCATTCTTCAACTTGCTGCTCAGCTCCCAAGAAGTGCTGAATCCCCTACACTCCCGCCAATTTTGTGTCCAATTCAGGAAAGCACTGCTTTGCTAACAAGCTGCTTACTTTTAAACAATGGGACTTAAGCATGTTTAAAGTTGAGCTCCTGTTTCAGTGTTTTTCTGAACAGAGATTGGCCTAAGCAACTTCTGGATTCAGGCAAAAATACAGGAAATTCAGCATCACACATGATATGACTAATACATACCTCAGACCACATACAAGTGCTACATTAACCCAGATGCTGTGTGCACACTGGCTCAATTAGTTCAAAATATTTTTAGAGCCATTTCTTCATTAAATTTCAGTTCATTCATGCACCCTCATCCTTGATTTATTGGAGAGAAACATTAATTTATGCTAGTCTGACTGACACCAGAAAGCTACAGAATATATCCTAGCTAAGAAATATATGTCATGTGATCGTTATAGCTAGACATCATTATTCCTATAATTACATATAAAATACAATTATACACTTCAGTATGAAATTACAGTTCACTTGTTAGCACACACCCAGCACCACAGGTAGTGAAAGCATGATGTGTTGTGTGTATAATGTAGAATATACGCTATACATTTAATTGGATTCCATGTTTCGTTTTCATCCTGTAGCTAGAGAAGTTTTACCTGATTTGGTCTCCATACTTCCTGACTTTGTTCCAAGTCCTGATGAGGTTGTCAATGATACCGCTGCTTCTGTCTGCTACACCTTGTACAACTTGACCCGAAACAATTCCCAGAATGCACAGCTTCTCCTAAATACTGATGGTCTTCCAAAGATTATGAACATCAGCATAAGTGACAGGTGAGTCACATTATATAATTCCCCATGACAAAAGGAGCAGCAACATCCACTGGAAAGAACATATCTTAAAAGAATACACAGTTTAAATAATAATTAAAATGTTAATTGAATTGAACATAGTGGGTACATCTACATGTGCCACTATGGCATCATGGTTACTGCACCTTTTGGAAGTACTAAATGACGGCACAATAGCAGCCAGTACTGCACTGTGCTTGGCGCACACAGTTATTTTAGGCACTACATCACCATAGTGATGCACTATAATGTACACTATGGTGATGTAGCTGTGGCATCATGGGTTTTGCCCGCAGATGCTACGTCGCCATAGTGCATTGCTACAGAGATGTAGCGTCACATGTAGACACACCCACTGGGTTATATAGTGAAATCCTTTTGAATAATTACTCCATCCAAGAGTAAACTTGCTTGCCCCTGTCTTCTTAAATGGTCCTTCAGCGAGTTAAATTATCTGTTGAAGGACTAACCCTCTTATAGTTGTTCTTTGTGACCATTCTTTTCTCATAAAACAGTGGAGACTTTTTAAGAGTGAACTTGCCCTACAAGTACATAAAATACAATACATAAAATAACGAAATATTACTCTCACCAGCACTTGGGGCATTTCAGGGATCTCCTTCCTGGGGAATATTTCACCCTTAAATGGTATAAATACCCCTAAAAAAAGGAGGCTCCAGGGCCCTTTGTTTCCCTATGATTGCAGAGCACATTGCCACTGATAGCTCACAAGGAGGTGTGTTCTTTACACTGGCCACATCTACTCAAGGCGCTGACTGTGCAGTGATGACTTCACAGTCATGTACTACTGGTATAGACAAGTACTAAATGACTGCAGTAACTGGAGTTACTGCACAGTAGCATCACCAAGCAGCTTTTAGGTGACGCTGACTGCACAGTAGCTCATAACTGCTGTGCAGTAGCATCACATCACGCTTCATGCCACATGATGCTATTGCACAGTAGTAATGAGCTACTGCGCAGTCAGCATCTCATGTAAACACTGCCACTATGTTCACTGGGAAGGATGGCATGAGGTCTGTTAAGAAAGCTGAGAGAAAGAACTCAGCTCTTAGGTTCAAAATGAAGGAGCAACTGTTTTTAAGTGATTGTGTTGTAAAGTGTTTGTTCTATTTAAGTCCACATGCATTGTTCATGACCTGCAATGTTAGCTGTATTTTATGGGTTTTTTGTTTTGTTTGGTTTTGTTTTACAAATGGAAATGCTACATTCAGCAAAGCGGGCAAAGCTGCCTCAGTCCTCCTGTACTCCTTGTGGTTGCACACTGATCTGCACAGTGCCTACAAAAAGGTAAGGTCTGAGTATGTTCAACTGGACTTTTCAAATTGCAAAGCAGTTTCTTTCTGCAGTTTCACTCATGTGATCTGCTGTAACAGAGTATCAAGTAGGTCTGCACTATTGGTAAGTGTACCGTTCTGTTACTACCATAAAGGAGAGGGGGCATTTATTCTTAATTTGGTATTTCCATGTGTACATGCTGAATCCTTCCAGTTAATAAATGCTCAGCTCCCACTGGGTATCTATTTGGAGCTTTCTGTGCGCTACCAAAGTTGACAGTAGCAATGATGTTGAGCAACACCTGAGCAGATATCGATCTAGCACGGAAAGAACTAATTTGATATGAAAGGAGTATGACACCAACAAAAGCAAAGATAGGCCAGCAGGGAACTTATTCCTTCTAAAAAGCAGTTGGGGGAGGGGGGGCAGTTTGGGGGGGGGTTGGTTTGGTTGGGTTGGGTTGGGTTGGGTTGGGTTTTGGCGGGGGGCGGAGGTTGGCTTGGTTTTGGTTTGGTTTGGTTTTTACATGTTTGCATTAATCAAAGATCTTAATTATATTCACACAAAGGGGCAGGGTCGAAGAAAGGGTGTTGGCCAAGTGAAACTGCATACTCAAAATTAGACAAGAATCAGCCATAACTGAATTAGCCAGTGAACTAGCTCACTTCTTTCCCCATTTGTTTTTTGGTTTTTTCCACACTGGGGGTCATTTAAACTTGTTTCATCATTTAGGGGGCTCTTCCCTGCAAGTTTAATTTCCCTGTTCTTTTTTTATTTATTGTTTAGCCTCCGAAAATCCCCCATAAATTTAAAATAAAGCCATCTTCCGGGGGCAGGGGGGGTTGTTTGTTTCCTATTTTAATCCTTGATGGAAGGACAGTGTATGCAAGATCTGTATTTTTTGGTTAGCCACAATTATTAAGACCTAGTTTTCAGAAAGTTCTGAGCCCTCTGAAAAACAGGTCCATTTAAAGTGGTTTATTAGACAATGAAAAAGTAAGGAACCTAACATCACTAGTCACTTTCAAAAAGTAAATCTGGCAAACAAACCAAAGGAATAACTTGAGTAAATAAAACCAATGAAATCCTGGAGCATTCTTTTACAGAAAGTTTCAGATACTTTGTATGTGCTTGGAAATTGCTTGTTGTCCTATAGTGCCTTCATTTACAGACTTGTCATTTATTATAATTAGTTCTTTTGTTTGTTTCATTCCAAAGGCTGACTTCAAGAAGACAGATTTCATCAATAACCGGACAACCAAAGCCTACAACTCACTAAAAGACTGAGGCTGGCTACATTGACATTAGAGAGATGAGAATATGTATGGATTTGTATAGTGGTCTTTCAGTGTCAGTTCTACCACTATGAACTGTGAAACATCTCAGAATGTTTCTTTATCCTATTCATATTGTTCTCAATTTTACTTAACAATATAAACAGCCAAAGATGATAGTCTTTAGGATTCCTGGTGCAACCTTTCAGGCAAACTCACTAATAGTCAATGCTTCATACACTACTGCGTCTAATCTAATAGCAGTTTATGCAGAGAGGTTGGGAATTCTAACTAGCAAAATATTCTTTATAGGCTACATTTTAAATGAGGAATCCTCCAGGGCTGACTTTCAATTGCACTGCTCAGGAAGTAGAAGTTTTTTATTTACAATAATCATTACTCTTTGAGCATGTGTAGTGCTAAAACTGTACCTCCAGGCTGTGCAGTTGAACAGAACAGACAGAAGATTTTTTTTTACTACATGCATTTTATAAAACACTGAAAGAGTTAGTTATTTGCGGGGGTCTGTATTTTTTGTATTAATGTATTCACTGACTCCCAGAGCTTCTTTGCTTTGAGAGCTCAGCAGTGGCAGCAACACTGACAGACAGTAAAGTCTCCAGTGTTCTATGAGAACTGACAGCCTGATCATCCCATTCTCCGCTGAACCTTCCTCTCACTACTGCAAGGCTTGGTGACTGTCCCAGCAAGATTTTTAAATAGTATAAATACATGTCAGGTACATTGGGTTGAGCTCTGATCTGTCAATCAGTGCTAACTGAGCAAAATTGCAGCTGGTAATTCATGGATAATTTTAAGAAATGTCCAATTTTAAAAAGCATTCTATTGATGGCTGTATATTGGAAAGGGTGCAGAGACTGATCCCTTTTCTTTCTGAGTAAGTATGAAAGCATGAGATTAGCATCATTCTTGCTTAGGACCTCATCTGAACCTGACTCGTATTCCCTCAGCTGGAATCATAATCCTCCCCACAGTGATGCACTGTAATGTGCTGATTGAAGGAGTTTGAGTTTAGATGTGGGAACAGGTAATAGGAGGAGATAGGCTTCCAAGTAACACAAGACTGTTTTCATTCTTTGTTCCTGGGGGGGAAGGAAGAGAAGCCAAAATGTTGAAAACAAATGATGGACTCTTTTAGCAGGAATTAATGGGTTTTTCTTAGTATTCCTTGAGCCAGCAACTGTTCTTCAAATGCAAAATAAAAAGCACAAACAAAAAACACCACAAAAACTCCACTCTAAGCCAGTTTATTAAGTGGCATAAATACATAAACTGGTGTCACTCTGCTAAAGTCAGTGGAGCTGCACTAGTTTTCTACCTGAGAGTGTGCCTGGAATAGGGAACCCTAGCCCTATTGCAGAGTGGAGAGGGCCAGGAGAAAGGGCAGCAAGGCACCCTCAGCTAGGCTCTGGTCACCTACAGGCAGCCTCCTAAACAGCATACTAACCGCAACATCAAGGCATGGCAGGAAGGAGAGAGGAGCCAGCTAAGGGAGATTGGGGTAAACAGGCATGTTCCGCACAGCTGCCAGGGGGCGAAACGACTACCCTGGAAGTGCCCTTAACTGTTTATACGCTTCTTTTGTCCAGCCAGCAACCTTCTCTGCCCTCCTAGTACCAGATGGTAGTAAAAGATCTGTGCACTGGTCCTCACCCGTTAGAGAATTTCTCCACATTTGGGAAATCTTCAGAGTTCAGGCTCTGGCACATTTAAGTCTGCTTAACTACTGAGCGAAATAATTTTATCAGTCCTTACCCGCAGAGTTGTATCTTACCTAGAACTGCAACCAAGCAAAAAACAGTGTGGTATCATATCCAGATGTCTCTCTGGATATGAGGCTGTTAAAATTTGCTCTCAGAGAAGTGCAGCTCTCATTGAGTTCTGTAGCAATACATGCTTCCAATGCATAGTTTGTCTCAGGAAGGTTTAACAACTGTGCCCTGCCCCAGGTCATTTCTGTATATTAGACAAAGCATTTGAATTTGCTTTGAAAAACTAAAATCAAATATAACAAGTGGGAGGTTCTAAAGTATTTTGTATGTTTCAGAGGGAAGTTTTCAAGAAGCTCTAGGTCCAAAAACAATATGAGAGAAAGACAGGGTTACACGACTTCATGTAAATGAAAATATTTTCATTATTTTGAAAAAAATGGGACTGAAAACAGATAATTAAAATCTAAACTTTCCTCACAATATGTTACTCCAAGCACTGCTGTGTGCCACTAATGATATGGAACTGAATCTTCTACTCTTATTTTACTGCCCCAAAATGTATGAAATGCAAGCATGAGAATACATAGAGTCCAAAGAGTAAAGGTAAAGAATAAAAACCAGCACAAGCTAGGTGCAGAAGAGTGAGGAAGGGGCCTTTCACAATTGCTCAGCAGTGGAAGAGTACTGTAAAACTTCCAGTGATTTCAAAAAGAATAGTTTGATAAATGTTAAATATGTCTGAAGTCTCCAAGATTTAATTAGATTTGAACGTAAAGGGGAGCACAGCATACAACCCCTCAGACCATGCAGGTAGGGGTAAGGCATGGCTGGAGACCCTGGCCCAACACGAAACTCCAGGAGGGCCGTACAGGGGGCAGAAGCAGGAAGGGTTAACCCACCTCCCACCACCGCTTTCCCCAGCTGACCCAGGGATCGGAGGAGCCCCAGGGCTATTCCTGCCCCACTGCACTGCAGAGAGTGACAGTATGGAGTGCTCAGCTCCAGTGGTGACTGAGAGTGCTAGTGCACCCCCTGACAGCCAGTGTTCCCCGCTTAGGCAACAGGCAGGGTGCCCCCCTGAGAGCGCCAGCCGGGGAGTGGGGATGCCAGGAGAAGTGATCCCCGTGGTTCCCCTGTGACTGATTGCACCAACTGGGGGGGGCGGGATCCCCCTGCGGCCGATTGAGCCAACCCAGCACAACCCCCACCCCCGTCAATGCAGTTGGCACCCCGACTCAGGAGGCACCAGTTGCCCATGCACCAAGAGGCTCAGCCGAGGACAGCTACTTTCCAATGCCTGCTCCTTTCTGCCCCACTCAGGGGGACCCGCCCTGGCCAAGCCCAGCACCCCGCACAGCTGCTCCCTTTGGCTACAGCAGGTGGCAGCCCTTGAGGCTGCTCCCTGTGTCCAGGTTATCCAGGGACAGTGGCTAGTGGACAGGTTCCTCCTCCCTACACCTGTTCTCTACTCTGCCCCCAGGAACCACACTGGCTCAAGGGCTCCATCTGTGCAAAGGGACAATGGTGGCAAGCAGCCCTCTTTTCTGTGCCTGCTCCCTGCCCAGCTCCCTTAGCAGTTAGGAGAGCTCACTGTGTGGTACACTAGAAGCCCCTACTACAACCACACCATTGAATCCCCTTTGGATCTGCCCCTGGCTTCGGAGTTTGTCCTGTTGGTACAGGATTTATTGCTGGTAACAGCATCCCTTTAACTCCTGATTGTTCAAAAACTGTTTAACAATAATGAGGAGGAAAAATCTGAACAGACATCATTTCAGTGTTATAAACGGGTGTGTAGGGAGGAAACCACAGATGTGCCTTAAAGCTGTTCTTCCTCACTGCTGTGAGATCAAAAACATTTCAACAGGACGCCAAAGAAAGCAAAACATTGTTCATGGCAGACGTAATAAAACATTATCTCCAACAGAAAAATCTGCCTCTGGATTTTATTGTTGTTAATTGACCTACCTAGAAACTATAAATATCTTGCCTTCAAGCCTTATCTCTCCCTTTCAAAGGGCAAATCTATTTTTAGTTGGGTCTTGCTCTGGAGAAGCAGAATTTGCTGCAAAGCAGTGTGTACAGTTGCAGTTTAGCTATCCAGCTTGCCTGGTTATGCCAAAGGACTCCTGTAGTAATCAGTTTACAGTAGAATGCCAGCTAAAGCCTTCACTGTAAGGATAAATGATCTGCCAATGTACTAGGCATGCCTGACGTTTTCACAGTTTGCATTGGTGTTTGGTGACCTATGTGCTTTCTGTGCAGCATATCATCATGGTATAACCTGAGCAGCTCACACAGATCAATGGAATTGTCTTCACAACAGTCCTGTGAAATTGGGAAACATTATTATCCCCACTTTACAAAAGGGGAAACCGAGTCAGAGAGACATTAAACAAAATCCCCAAGGTCACAAAGTCTGTGGCAAAGCTGAATGTTGAATCCAGATCTCATAAGTCCTGGGCTGGTGTCTCACCAGAAGAAGCTTCTCCTTCTTTAGCAGACATAATTAGTAGTTAATAATACTCTGTGAACTACCATAGAATAAAGAGTTGGATTCATGATCAGAAAATGGCTTGCTCTTTTTCTTGTTTCACCCTTCATACTTCCTATTTCTGCTCTTCTGGTTGGTAAGCAAGGGCAGCACTTTCAGGCTCCTTTTCCAGTTAGTACTAAGTGGGTGCATTTACACAAGATGTTTACTGCACAGTAAATGTCTTGGTGTCTACACATGTGCCTTTATTAGGCTGGAGTAAACTAATTTACTGTGAAGCAGAATAGTACTTGTAAATAATTGTAAATACTTGTAATTACAACTATTTACAAGTACTATCCTGCTGCAGAGTAAAAATCTCCACAGCAGGGCACATGTAGATGCTGGAGAGACTGGCTAGGGTATGAGGGTGCTTCAGCATGGGGGCTGCCTACTGGCTAGCCCCCACACCAAAGCACCTTCATGCCCCAGCCAGACCCCCTGCAGCATGTTGAGCCAGGGGGAGCAGCCCCAGGCTGACAGACTAACCCCCCAGAACCACCTGCCTGCCAGGGCTACTCCAACCTGGCTCAACATACTGTGATCCCAGATACACATTCAAAGAGCAATAAATTCTGGAGTTTATTGCTTCCTATTAATTACACATGTAGACACACCCAGTTAGATCCAAGATCGCTGTGTTAAACTACAGAGTTGTCTACAGATGAAAACAGGCTTTGCACACTTGACCCCACTCACATGCACCAAATATCAATGCTGTCACATAGCTGTTTTCTGATGCGTGCCCATGGTATAGCCAGCATCATTCATATTTTGGTATGTTCATGAGAGCAGCACTAGGTCCACCCAACAGTGGCAGCTTTCTGACTTTTTTTCAATGCATGGTTTATCTTAAGTGGGAGCAACAGGCTGGGTCATGCTTTCAGGACACCTTCTCTAGCACCACCTAACACAATGCAGACAGGTCTTGCATATATGACAGTTGGTTTTCAGTGTTTCTTTTAGTTTGGGTAGTATTATAAGGTACATACAAGGTGTTCTCTGTGTAAGTATGTGTAAGATATGTATTATCTATATATCCCCATTCAAAGCTCATCAGGAAAAAGCATTATCACCAAAGTGAACCATAATACAGCAGACCATCCCGTGCAGCATTTGGAACTGTGTAACCTGGGTGTGCTAGACATCATCTCATTAAACTGAAAGATGGTTTCTTCTGTTTTTACAGTCACTGAGTCTACAGGTTCATGTATTTATCCCTGGCTATCTGACTAGCCCAAAATACTCAGATTTCCCTGTCCCATGGGTTCTGGAACAAAACCCAATTGCCTAACTTCATTGTCTTCCCAGAACTGGGACATGTGCTGCTTCTTCAACACAGTGAAGCTATCTCATCTATGCTGCATGTGGGAGTAGATCACAGCAGTCCAGGCAAGGAGATGCCACATTCTGTGTAGGCAGAGCTCTGCTTTACTGTGCCTCTCTCTGGCACACAGCAGAGAAGTTGGGCAGGGTCCATAGGATCTAGTACTACATGAATTAACAAGATTGAACCCTCCATATACAGGGCCCCAGATAAGGACAAAGCTGAGTTTTGGCTCTATATTCAGCTGCTTATTGAAAGGAAGAGTGTCTCCAAACAAATCCCATTTAGTACTTAGTACATGGGTGCAGTGATGTTTGACTCTTGATCCAATCTTGATCCAATCTCATTTACTGAGGCCTTGTCTTCCCTGCAACCTTTAGCTTGAGCTACTCTACTCAAGCTAGCTCAAGTGTGGTCACAACTGTGAAATTCCACTCAGGATGCACAGATAGATTGGATTAGCCATGGGCAAGTCGATACAACTGAGGATGCTACATCCCTACACTTTGCTAGCTCAAGCACCAACAGTAGTGGAGCATTACAGTCTCCCTTCTCAACCAATGGACAAACAGGTGAGAGCCATGTGTGTGTGTGGACAGGAGTTGGATGACAGTAAAATTTGAGTTATACTTTGAGTTCACAGTGCAGCAAGGCCAATCCTTTGGAAGATCAGAAAACAGCCACGTTGTGGGAGGGGAAGTGGTAGATCTTAGTGTCTGAGGTCACATTTTACATTTCCTCTGAATAGACAATTCATTTCTACAACAAAGAGTGTGTCTCAAAATGCACCCAAGATAACATTGCTTTTTTATGGCTGTGAAGTTCTCTAACTTGCCAGTACTGTATCAGCCTCTATCCCCTTTTCCTTCGGTAGTTTCTATGCTCACCCGCCATGACTTTGATGTTTAATGATCAAAAAAAAAAGAAAAACAAAGGGAGATGAGATTTTCAATTCTCCATGCTGTTAGGGATAATGGCAGTGATTTTATTCATGGGACTCTGCTACCCCTACATCCTGCCCTGACCACACCAATATAGGCACAAGCCTGTGACCTCCATTGGCCTTGCCTTTACAACAAGTGAGATATGGTGACTTGTAACAGAGTAGTTATCCCAATCTATTGCAGGCAAAAGGGTAACCACTGGCCCCTCTCATGTGATTTACAACATTGTTAAGACTTTAAACCCTTAGTACATCAGTTGCCACCGGGTCTCTTTATAATGACTTCTATTATTCCTACTTTTGTCCCCTCTGTCTGTGTACAGACACGGCCTAGCATTAGTCTTCTTCTTTCACCCCAAGTCAGGCTAATCCAAGCTCAACTCAGTCCTCCCTCAGGGCCTACTAATTACCCAGCCATACACCTTGATTCATTCCTACTTACAGTCTATCATTCTTCTGGCATGACAGTATGATTCCTATTACGTCCATTAACAGGCCTCTCAACCCCAAGTCAGTCGCTCAGCTTTTGCTTTCTTGCTCTCAGCATCTTGTTTAGTAGTCTAAAACTAAATGGGGAAAACAGGATTCTTACCCGGTGCCCAGGTGCTGCTGCTGCTACTGCTACATGCTGTACCCACTCCTGCTCTTGCTTTTAAAGCCACAGCAGTGCAGTACTG